TTAACTTACTCATTTTTGGAATGGGTTTTATAAAGCCTAACACAAACACCATGTATAACCAAAAGCCCATAGGAATAACAAAATCGAATAAATGAAACGCAGAGTATCGCTCAAGTGGACACGTGTTACTTCCGAAATGCACGATTTGATGACATGGCTCTTCCTGGAGAGAGTAAACTTTCCTTTATAATAATAGATTGATTTGATTTGTCGTCAGAAACTAAGAAAAAGGTTTTGACTTTTTTTATTCATTAATTCTCTCACTCTCTTTCCTCCACGAATCTCAGCCTCCATCAACACCATCTCAGCTTTCATCAAAACTCTCAGTTACAAATATGATTGAGTCACGAGCTCGTCATTACTGTCAAGCTCCGGTCATGTGAAAGTTTTGCATGCTGCCATATATCTGTTTTCTTCTTCATCTTATTTTATTTTTACCGCCGACAAATCATACGGCTAACAAAGAAATATGAAATCAAGAATAATAAGATCAATTCAAATGATTTGAAGCTGTCTTTCCTGCTAATAAGCTAAGGGGCTGAGTAACCCCCAAATTTCTTGCAAAATTCATAACCCTAAGGAGCTAATGAAGAATATGAAATAATTACGATGACATTAATGAATTAATATTAAAAAACGTGTACACACAGCTATGATGTACACGTGTACGCGATACATAACGCACACAACTAAATTGTACACAAAATAATAACAATTTTACCTTTAATGTACATATGTACGCTACTATTTTTGATTCACATTTGATGTGTACGCGAATGTACACATCCTAATTGTACACAAGATAATAATTTTTTTGAGCAAAATAATAACTCCCGACAGGCACCATTGTGAAATTGTGTCGAGAAAGAAGCTTCACGGTCGCGGATTGAGGTTCGATGTGGCTTTGAATCAAAAGGAGAAGACTTGGCGGAGTTGTTGCAGAGGAGGAAGCTTGGTGGTGATGCTTTCATGGTTAATGATGAAGACATAGACATACGTGTGATGGCTGTGATATTATTACGGTGGAAAAGAGGTTTCATTCAGATTTTAGGAGTTTAAATTAAGGGTGAATGAGATGAAAAGAGGCTGCTTTTGTTCTCTTTGTCGTTGGTTTTATCACAAAGCTGAATCATCATTTTTTTAGTACAAAATAATAGTAAAATAGATATAATAGATAGTGGATCCTATTAATTGTGTTTAGTTATGTTTTAGTTAGGAAAGAAGAGAATAAGTTAAGAAAAAGTGTCTAAAGAGTCAAAAGTGACTTATTATGATACCAAAAGTCACAAAGTGACTATTTCTGTTAATCTCTCTTTTTTCAACAGATTTTGTTGTATTTAAATTTATTTATTATTAATATCCTTATGAATTATTAAGATATTTTGAAAATGATATATACTTGATCGGTTAATGTTATAATCAAATATGTCAAATTAAATAATTAATAACATGGTCTAACATAATTTCTAAATAGTAGATAAATTTGGTATTTCTCTTTTAATAAAAAAAGATTTTTTTTGGCCGGTTTAGATTCTATGCAATTGACTTACAACTTTGTTAATAAAAATAATATTATGCCCAATTTATAATTTTTTATTCGTAATTTAGAGCAAAAATAAATTGGAAAGTTATAACAAAACTAAATATATATTTATCTATGACTTTATAATTATATATACTAAACACACCTAATCATATAAATAAACTAACTTATTTATTAATGAAAAAAACATTAGTATCCAAATTAATAAAATTACTAATAAAACATTAATGAAATTATTATGATCTATTCAATTTCCCACCAAAGTTGTTTAGTGATCCTGACATGTACACAACAAAACAAAACCCTTTAAACAAAGGCTGTAAAGGAACAATAGTAGTCATTACAAGTAAAAAGTGTCTACCATCCAAACTTGCGTAATGGTTGATAAAATCTTTGTTTTGGTCATTTTAAGAGCAAAAATTAAACTGGGAAGTTATAACAAAACTAAATATATATTTATCTATGACTTTATAATAATATATAGTACTAAGCACACCTAATCATATAAATAAATTCAACCATATTCTCTAATAGATGCACTTCAGTTCCTTCTATGTTTGGTTTTCTTGGAGTCACTTCCCTTTCTCTTCCACTTCTTATCCTGATTAGATCTGTTCTTCTCTTCAATCTCCTTGACTTTACGCTTCCTATGAATACAACGCAACCAACACAAAATCACTTACAAACTCATTGTCTTAGCAGCAACCTCTCTCGATACTAACAATTAAAGTAACTAACCTGTACTGAGAAAATTTGGGGTCTGACACAAGTCCTCAGCAAGAGTTGTGCTTCTATTCTTCTTTGTGAGTCTCTGAAAGAACTCTTGTGCTGGTTCAATTACTGTACCAACCTGGTTTTTAACACAAGAAAAACAAGAAGAGTTGGTGTTAAGACAAAAGACTAGAAACAAAAAAAAAAAGATTATTGTCTTGATCTATTTTGCAGCTCAGAGACGACTTACCTGAAAATACTTTTCACCTAATTTTGAAGAGGACACAACTCTCTTGTAGTGTTTCTTAGGATCCATTACACCCCTCAACTGCCAAAAGAGATTAAATTAGAACTGTGAGAAACCAAAACTAGAGAACAACAACAACAACGAAGAATACATATTACCTTAAGCAACTGAAGTCTCTTTTCAACTCAGGAGTCATTGTTGGTGCAGGCATATCAAACCTAATCCACAATAGCATGTACAATGTGAGTCTCTCAACAAATGATTCATATTAGAAAAACAAAAAAAAAGGGGTTAGCAAAGTTTTTACCAGTTTGATCCAGTGGTGTCTTTAAGTTGCTTTCTCATCATCTTGTTAAGTTTCTTTGGATCAACGAGCTCTGACTTAGACGTCCAAAGAGAGCCACTTTCGAGTCTCTCAGCTACTGTACTTGAGCTGGAAGAGGAACCAGTTAAGCATGGAAGCTTTGGTTCCCATTTAAGACCGATCAATGGTTTAACCTCCGCCATTAGATTATTTAAAATCTCAGTGGTCTCTGTGACAAGGTGATTTCAAAACATTCAAAAAAATAGAGAAATATATTTAGAAAAATAAAAATACAAAACGCTAATAACAGAAGAAGCGAACAAAAGAAGAAGTCTCCAAATAATGTGGTCTGAACAGTAAACATCTTTTATGTCATAACAATTAAGAATCACGACACTTGTTCAATCTCAATCGATCCAAAGCATATTTACCAATACACACGTTTTAATGATTTGTAACTACTAATCAAGACAAAGAACCATCAAAGCAGACAGAAATCGAATAGCAAAAAGGATCGAACTTGTTTGGTAGTAAGAAATCAAATACCGAAGAAGCGCCACAGAGAGAATCTCGTTGGCGCAAAACCTACAAATAATTTTGACACGGGTGAAATTGGGGTTTAAGGTAAACGACGTCGTCAACTAGTAGGATTGATGTTTTTATTGTGGGGCCAATTGGTGAGCCCTCATTAGATTTGTTCTTTTTTTTTTTAATTATTTTTGGTCTGGGCTGTCTATTCTCCATTACCATCACCTAAGGCTCATTTTGTATTCTCCCTTTGTATGATTCCATCTAGGCCTAGGCATCTTCAATCCGGATTTCGGTCCGGCTTCGGTTCGATTTTTTTCGTTTTCGGTTTTATAAAAATTAATTATCATATTAAAACCATATCTAATCTAGTTTGATTTGGTTTTTATACTACCGTCGGTTCTATACCATAAAACATTATTATTTAATTTGGTTATATATTATATAAATTTTAAAGAGACACATTCTCAAAACTATCATTTACTAAAACAATATCGGATGTTTATAAATAATAGAATGTCAAAGAATAACAAACAAAACGATCAATGACTCAATATTTTATAGTTTCTTGTCTTCTATATTCTTTCAAAAAAAAAATTCTACCATCTAATTTCGTAATTATTAAAACATACAAAATCAAATCAAATCTAGATTATATTTAAAGAAAAAAAAATAGTAAGACATACCTTTAGTTTGTCAATTACTCAATAGCAAAAAGAAGAAAAAATAAATAAAAGAAAAAGTCTATTCAAAAGAATAAGAAATTAAGAATCTTCAACAAGAGTGAGTAACTTTTTTATTGTTTAAGTTTTTTTAAAATTAGAAATTCTTTAATATAAAAGTATATGATATTAATTATTATCAAGAAAATTAACTTATATAACAAATCAGTTAGCATGTATCTTTATATAATGTGCATATTTATATGTTTTTATTTTGATCGGTTTTGTTTGGTTTATTTGATTATAAACCTAACCATATCCAAATCCTACATTTTTTATAAAATCATATCCATTCGGTTTATATAGTATATACCAATTCCAAACTGTATTGTCTATTTCGGTTTGGTTCGGTATTACCACATTGAATATGCCTAATCCTAATATTTCTTTTTTTTTTGTCAGCAAAAACACAGACTCATATTGACTCTTTGTACCACACTGGTAGCTCTGCATCCATGTGAACGACAAATAACGACTGTTTTGTGACACTCCGTGCTAGACTATCCGCCTTTATATTCTTCGTTCGTGGTACATGACTGATCTCCGAGCTGAGAAAATGTTGTTGCACGGTCTTGATATCTTCCAAGTAACTTGCAAACGCAGACCATTCTTCTGGTTCTGAAACCATCTTCACCAATTGAGAACAATCCGTCGCAAAAGTAACCCGGAACTGGCGTAGATTCCTCATACACTCCATTGCCCAGAGTAGAGCTTCCACCTCCAAATGTAGGGGGTAAATGCTAGCCCTGACATTTCGTGCTCCCATCAAACCGTCATAACCTTGTAGAGTACTATACCAACCTTGTCCGGAGAATGGCTCATCCGCCTTCCAAGAACCATCGATAAAACACCAACGTCCGAGAATCGGCGGGTGGGTTGAGACCTCTACATGTTGTCATGTTCTCTGAGTTTTCATAGCCTATGCTTCAGCCCAAATTTTTGATTCTGTTTCTGCAAGTTTAAGTGTGTCCCGAGGATCTACATCAATATTACTAAAAACCTTGTTATTCCTTCTTTTCCAGATGTACCATAGAATCCATACAAATTGGTGGTCTTCCATTGCCGGAGTAACTCTCCAGAATAAATGATCCAAATTTGTGAAGAGGGAGCCAGTGGGAAAAGTCACCATGTTCAAAGGGATCTTTGAGAGGGCCAAAACCTGACGAGGTGGAGGACATTCAAAAAATACATGATTTATCGATTCCTCTGAAGCACCACATCTGTCACAGCATATATCCCCTTGTAATCCTCACGCTTTCAAATTTTTTTCCAACTGCTATGCACCCCAATACCAATTGCCATAAAAAATGTTTCTTTTTTGGTGGGCACCGAACTTTCCAACAATAAGCTTTCAGGCTATCCACTGTAGGTCCTAGCATTGTAGGATGTTTGTCCCTATCAGGATAAACCCGTTCTATTTGATATCCTGATTTGACCGTGTACTTCCCATTAAGAGGTATACTCAGAGGTATACTCTCAATAATCTTTACATCCTAAGGATCTACTAACATCCGAATAGCCTATGAATTCCAAATTCGCGAAGTTGAATCAATGAGGGAATCAACTGTAAGGTAAGGGTAACTGTTATGATGGTTTTTATTTGCTGGTCTCGAGCGAGTGGATGGGATCCAGGGATCGTTTCATACAGAGATAAAAGACCCTGATCCCACCCGCTTAATTAGTCCTTTACGAACTAGAGATCTAGCAGAAACAATACTCCACCAGCCATATGACGGGGATGATCGAATCGGTTCCAGGGGTGAATCATTTCTGTAGTACCGTCCTTTAAAGACTCAAGAAAACAACGTATTGGTTATCTCTATCAGTCGCCATAACTGTTTGCCTAGCATGGTTGTGTTGAAATACGTGAGGTGTTTAAAACCTAATCCACCTTCATCCTTTTCTAAACATACTTTATCCCACGATTTCCAATGCATACCTTTCGTACTACCCCCTGAATGCTATTGCACTCGTCAGTTTCTTTGTAGTTGCCTTGGGTAGCCGGTAACCAGACATCACATGATTTGGTAATGCCGTGACCACTGATTTGATAATCACCTCCTTCCCTCCCTTAGTAAAGAACTTAAACGTCCAGCCATTAACCCTATTATTCAAGCAATCCTGAATGAAACCAAAAACTTGTATCTTTGAACCTCCGATATTTTCAGGTAAGCCCAAATAAGATCCCATTCCTCCTAGATTTTGGATTCCCAGTATATCACGTAGTTATTGACGGCTAGTTTCCTCAATCGTATGCCCAAATTGGATTCACTACAAGAAAACTAAGCATTTACTAGGAAATTTTACTAGGAAAATTCTTCCTCGTAAAGTTACTAAGTATTTACTAGGATCTTACGAGGAAAGCAAATTTCCTCGTAAGCTCCTTGATCAAACACAAAAAAATGTCTGGTCCGAGAAATATTTTCGAGTTGCGGCAGTGGATGTATTCACACAGAGATAATAACGGGAGGGTGACAAACGAATTTCTTGAAGGGTTGGAGACGTTCATGCATCAAGCAGATTCTACACCACTCACGCAGGAAAGTGGTAAGATGTTCTGTCCTTGTCGGAAATGCTGCAATAGCAAATTAGGCCCTCGTGAAAATGTTTGGAAGCATTTAATAAATAGAGGTTTCATGCCATATTATTATATTTGATATCAACATGGAGAAGATGGTAGTTGTAGGAATGAAGGTAGCAGTAGTAATCAGATTGAATTACCGGTTGAGCATTTGCGTAATGAAGGTTGCAGTAGTTATAGCTATGATCATCACCAAGAGGAACAAATGGTAGATTGTGATAGGGTTCATGATATGGTAGGTGATGCATTTGTAACTCATGGTGTAGTTGACGTCAATGGTGGACGAAGGCACAACAAATTCTTTTTTGACATATGTACATGCATGTTCTGAGAACTAATAATTTCTCCGTTGTCCTAATTAATTTTTGCAGGTACAACAAATTCGAGCCTTTCATACTAGCTTCCCAAGCAGATCAAGTTTGCTTCATTCCATACCCACGGATTACTACAACGGGAATAAACTGGTTAGCTGTGATCAAAGTGACACCTCGAGGACGGATTATCGAGGGAGAAGAACCACCATTGCAAGAAGAAAACACCAATGAAATCGAGGAACCTGAAGCAGAAATTGATGACATCCTACTCATTGATCCGCATAATCGTGAATACGAAGATGTCCCTGATCACTCAACGGACG